AGCCCTAGCTAAGGAACCGCTCTTGCATGGGCAATCAGGTCGCATCGCATACCCTCATGTTTTGAGGGCACAGCTTTCTGGAGGGAGAGTCTCCCAAAAGTCAGTCTTTCACTGGTGTCTCAGGCTGGGATGGTATGAAGACTCCTGCCTTGGGTAGCAGCGCTGGGGCTGCTCTGAAGAAGCAGCACTGGGAAGCTTTGCTTCCAAAGAACCAATGGAGAGAAAATTAGACTTGGTTCATGCAGAGCATGAAAAGGATGGTGACATTTGGTCACTACAGCTGTGGGCTGAGGCCAAACAAGCGATCTAGAGAAAGAAGACATAATACCCTCTGATTCATTAACTCTCTCAGAATGATGGTCAGATGTCACATATTGTGAGTGCCCAGTTTGTAAATCTCCTTCCCAGATGACTTCATTAAAATTCTGAGGCACAGAACACTTCAAATTCTTTGTGGCTCTTGCCTGACTTTGCTCTATTAAGCATTGCACTACAGACCCCAGGGAGAAGGAGCAGGCATGCCTATCACACAGCAACATCTTTCCGTGACCTCACACCATCACCCATCCAAGAAAACTGACCTCCAGTTTACCAGCTGTCAGCATATGCTTGCTCTCTATACTAAACCCTTCAGGAAAAAAAAACCCAAAACAAACCACTAAAACTAAAAAACCCTAAGAAAAACCAAACCCAAACCTCCTCTAAGATTTCCCAGAAATCAATACAAATTATCCTAGTCCTTCACTGCGTATTTTCCTTTGCTTCTTAACTGGAAACAAAATCTTGAAGTTACCAGTTCTGACCTTTACCTATTTAGCAGCAGATGTACAGCCAACATTTATCTGCAGAATAATGTTAAGTAAGTCTCTTGCTTTATGGCTGGAGATGGGCTTGAACAACACATCAACTCTGCAGAAACACAGAGGGGTACCTAAGTGACATATGGCTCACACCTTCAGACTTGGCATGTTAGTTTAAAACCTAAACAGAATGCCTTCTCCCTATATCCTCTTTATAAACAGGCACATAAACTTAAAAAAAAAAAAAATAGGATAGGGATTTTAGAACCTGAATCAATTAGAAAAACTGCTATGTAATCATTTGAATAAAGAAATATTAGTAAGAAAACACCCACTGTACCCATGATGAAAACAGTAAGTTCCTAAGGAATTACACAAATCTAATGCAATCTATTTGTTCTTTGTACATTTTAAAATGCTGCAGTACTTGACAGAGGTGTTTAAGACAACTGTCGGCATCCTGCTAGAACAAAGCAGGATCCTTCCTGCTATTCCATCTCTTTCACTAGCTCTTTCACATGGAAGACTGATAAATTTATGACATTTGCTTCTAACACAAAAGCCTCTGATGTGTGTGGGCTTCTTAATTTTGCAGCTCACTACAAATTTTGTTTATTACTTTTCCCCATGTTTGGTTTGCTGAGAATTATGGGCTTGTTTTGGGGTTGTTTTGGGTTTTTTTTGGCAAACCACTGATCTCCTCTAAGTGTGTTAAGGCTTCCAGCTTCAGGAATGTCTTTATGTTGTAAACTCTCTACTCAAATCTTATTTTTCTTTTAGCCAGTTCTACATTGTAGAGGTTGATTTTGTAAGTCAAAAAACTCCAAGATAAAACTCTAATCGGAAATGGCACAGACAGAAAGTGAAGGGAATCTCTGAAGAGACAAAAGAGACTTTTTTGTGCCATCTTCACAAGAAGTGGAAGCAGCGCTTCATGTCTCCGATTCGTTGGTATTTATACCAGTCACTTTGAATAACCAACAGTACTCATAGATTTGCGGAATTCAGATGCTCTCTGCTCAAGGAAAGGTCAACAGCCCTTTACAGTGCGCAGGCCATCGTTGGGGCTCAGAGCTGGGAGTAACAGGGACTTTTCAATTTCAAGAGCCTACAGGGGCTGGCTTTCCAAAAAAGAGTATTACTGTGTACAGCCTGCGACAGGGAGGTACTGTAGTCACTACAAACACAGTTCTACACAAGCTTCACATCACAACAGAACAAAACCCTCCAGGAATTAATAAAAAGGGGGGAAAAGTGCTTCCAGCTTTCTTCTCTGCCTCAGGTTGTTTTCAAGATCTTGCCAATTCTTTCCTCATCCAGTCTGGAATCGCAAAGTCTCCCTCTAGTTGGTCAATGATTTTACATGTCTTTCCTCCCTCGATCACCACCCTTAACACTTCATTTGACATTGCCCCACATACAAAACTGCTATTCTTTGCTTATTTTGCCAAAGCATCTGTCCAAGGATTGTTTTTATAATGCTCAGCCAAACAGGGCCCAACCCCTTATTCAAGGCCCTGTTGTCAAAACAGAAGTAATTTGTTATTTATTACTCAATATCACCTAGGTACCTACACAAATACAGCCCAGAAAAACAGCTATTGTGTCTCAGTAGACAGAAATATCTTAATGTACCACACAAAACATTTGGCTGAATAACCTTCATTTATACTTATCTTGTATGCATTAAGGAATGGGGATTATATCTTCTGTATTCTGGATACTGTCTTGGGACTAATCATGTTTACTGTTTTAATTAATGACACATCACAAAAATTATGAGTGTGATGGTACAATTACAAAAAAGTGAAGAGGATACGATATAGAATGCGACAGGCTGATCATAAGAACTAGGATAAGAGAAATATGGCAAAAGTCAGTAAAACAAAGTGGAAAATAACACAACAGTACCACAAGTTCTGTGGCATGGTGGAAGCCCGTCAACCAAGCAGCCTAGGAGAAAGACTTGGATACGTCAGGCAACCACAGGATGACAGTGTGAAAAGGTGCCAGTGTGAAAGAGGAAAACTCAAGTGACATCAGGAGAGGTTTCCAGTAGAGAGGAAGACAACAGGGACTTCAGCAGCTGTGCCCTACACAGCTATAGTAGGGCCTCCTCTAGCACCTCGTGTAGTCTCCTCTGTTCAACAAAGGTCATTCAAACTGGAACAGGCACTGAAAATGGCTACTGAGGTGATCAATAAAAA